AAATGTCCAGCACTATCATTGCACGTGCATTCTCAGCCCTCTGTTTGCATTCCTGCTTTACAATCAGAAAAGGGGGAGGGGGGAGACAGACAGGCTCTTGTTGCCTTGGCTACTTTTTTGATAACTTTTTTTCCCATGCAAAACTCTTTCCCTTTGCCCTTCGTTGGGGAAGGTCTTGAAGACATTACCATTGGCTATAAAGCTTTCCAGCACTGGATACATTTAAGTGCTCCTAGCTAATCTGATCTTTTGGTAGTTTGTGCATTTAAGTAGCAATTACTGGTTAGTCTTTTATATAGATATTCTTTGCACACTTCATTTTGTAGATTTGTTTTAATTCCCTGGTGAATGATGGGTGTGTGGTGGTGGGTTGTAAATGCATTTAATTGATTAGAGGTTTGAATAAGTTGCTAGGAAACAGGGCAACAGACCAACAGGAAGGAAAAGTGAACAGAGAAACCGGCACCTGAGCTAGCAAGAAGAGAAACATAGTAAACTTAACTGCCTTAAAAATGAATGGATTTGACAAGTCCTTCTCCAGACACCTTAGCTCAGTCAGTTCAGGAAGAGCAATCATTAACTTTCTTTTGCATCATTTCCTTTATGCCTATGGCTGCTTCCAATGCAAAAAACACCTACTTGTTCACACTTGTGTTTTTAAAGGTAGCTTGTTCGGGCAAAGTATGTTTAACATCTCTATGCAAGTAAAGCATTTTGCCTGGAGCATGCACATGTCCCATGTTTGTATGCATTGTATTTCTTTGATTCCATCCCCAAGAAACACTTGACCTGTTTCTGGGAGATGCTAGCATAAATCCAAAAGGATTGTTTCAGAAACGTCAAGTTTATGTGCATACAAGTTACAGACAGAACATCTGGGGAATAGATAAGGTGTGGAAACGGGGTAAAATTAGTTTAAGATTAAAATTTTGGCAGTCTGTGTTTCTACATAAAGGTCTCCAGAGTGTAGTTGTTGGGTCATTCATTCACTAAATAAGCATAGAGCAGGTCAAAGTTGGCAGCCTCATTGCTACAGATAGCTCATATTTCAAATGATTTATCCTTTAACACTTTAGTTGATCTTTGCAATTGTTTAAATGCTGGGTCAATGGTATCAGAATCTAATAAGGTGTTCAGTCAGGCAAGAAAACTATAAAATTTAAATAAAAACAATTCCAAAGTTCTTGTGTCTATCTCTTCCTAGCGCCAAGCAAGCCCAAACCTAATTAGCTGGATGTCTTCATCAATACCATTTAATGTGTTAATTTTCTGGAGATCTAAAAAAGTTTTTAGGACCGGTAGAGGCAATTATAAGATCACAGGTTTAGCACCACAAGCTACCTGAAAGATCATCTAATCCAACCCACCTCCTCGTTTTCCAGTTAGGAAGGTTGTGAATGGCACTGCTAGGATTTGAAATGGAATCAGTCTTCTAATTCCAAATTTAGCCATCTGTTCCAATGCACCATACTGCTTTCTCAACACATTTCTGATAAGCAACCACTAACTGGGGATCAACATCACTTTGGGGGCACAGTTTAATAAGATTTATTGGTTACAAAATGATTCCCCATCTTCTTGTTTAATTGAATAAAGGGCATTATCGTGAGATGTGATCTCCCTTTTCCAAAATTATAAACCTGGCTGTTCCTCAAAAAAAAAAAAGTTTGCATAAATTTGGGAGCATAAAGCTTGGGAGCATAAAGCTGATAACTTAAAATAAATAAAACTATGAAAACAGGGTCAAAGTAGTCTAAGCCAAATGGATGTAACAAAATACTTGGAGCAGCCAGTCCAAACTTTTAGTGGGCTTAATATATTAACACTGGAATGTGTTTTGTATTTCATATCTTGCTAAATCACTTCCACTTCTTCCTCTCCACCACTGGAAAACCTTTGTTTGATCAAGGTCATTATCAAAATGAAATTCCTTTACTTACAGAACTTATAGCACTATAGTGGCAACTAAGTCAAACTTCTTACAAGAACTTCAAAGTCCATTTCATACCCTGAGCAGGTCAGCCTAGCCCAGTACTTTCAAGAAATGAAGGCCATCCTTCAAATCTAAAGCCTATTTTATGATTATGGAATCACAGATTAGGAGAATGATGAAGTGCCTTTTGTTTCAATACTAGTATAAATACCTTGCTAACCGCACTTGGAGATTCAAGGGAAACTACCAAACTTTACACTTTCAAATTATGTTTTAAGAAAAATAAACCTCAAGTTTCCCATTTCAAATATCAATCAAGGCAATAGGCATGAAACTTACCTACACTTCCTGAATAATTTTAGGAATGTGTTAGAGAACAACTTTCTGAGGGTGGGGTAGGGTGGAGGGGGAGGGCAAGTGAGAAACAGAGAGGTGCCGGTTAAGTGTTTGGAGCTCCTGGAATAAAAATGAATCATTTCCCTACCCCAGCATGCTTCATTTCTAGTCTTCCCATTTCTATCAAGAAGAACTGGAGTTATCTCCTCTAGCTTACCATTCCCAAACTTTGATAGATAAGCTATACAAAGAAGTTAGGCTCTCCATACCAACCATGAAGGCATTACCACCTTCTCAAACAAACCTCATACCTATACTTTTTTTTTTTTGCTTTGCTTTAGTCTTAAGTTTATAATTTTGTTAAATAGGGAACATAAATAGAAAGTTCTTTCACCAAATTCCCTGTATTTGTCCCCAAAGCCCATCTCCCCCACTCTCATGTAGCTGTATTCAAAGTCATGGGATCAGGATGGAGAAGAGGCTTCTGAGGCCATCTAATCCAACCCAGATGAAGCTCAATGACTGTGACTTGTCCAAGGTCAAATACCCTGCTATATGTCAGAAGCAGGCTTTGAACACAGTCCCTTTGACTTTTAAAGAAAGTTCTCTTAGCAGGCAACACAGTTCTGTTCAAGTCACTCTGAACTCCTGAGCAGTAGAAAATTTGTTTTCAGTTGAAGTTCTGTTCAGAGATTTCTCTTTTTCAAAAGGGAAAAACGGACATCTAGATGAACCTGCCCTTCAGAAATGTCAAATCCCATAGCAGTAGCAGCATTGAAGACTTTGGCAGAACTTCAAATACCACAGATTTTTTATAAAACTCCTTATCCATTTGATGGTATATTTGATAACAGTTTTATCTCATTTCAGGCACACACACAAATGACGGAGCCTGAATATGGTCCCAACAGAGAACACTTTTGTTAGCTACACTCTGTAATGCTATCTCCTGAAAATGTGGACTTTATTTCTTCCCAACCACTTTCTAGAGGAGGAAGTACACCACCCTCTCCAGTGCTCCTAAGACTGGGGAAATCACGGCTTGGGACTCTCAAGGACCACAGGTAGGCGGCAGCAGAGGGCATAATTCTAGAGCACATGGCTGAATGCATTCTTCCCAGTAACTGAATCCACCCACCATCCAGTGGGGCCGACCCAAACCTTTGCAGCCCTCCCATTGGTGCCTGGTCTATCTCAGCCCCTAAACAACGACCGCCCGGGCCCCACCCCCCCAGCTTTAAAACCCAAAGCTCCCCACCTCATTGCAGTTTCTGGAGATTTCAGCGTGTACCTAATATAGGACGTATCACAATAATTTTGTCCAAGTCTTCCTTTTGTAGGAGAGACCATTTCGATTACATTCTTTTGGGAGGGGGGAGGCAGTTGCAAAGGAATGTCATTTTACTGTGCACATTTGCACTGGGTGGCAGATAATATACGGACCCCCCCCCCATAGAAGTGGGCAATAAGCAAGTAACTCGGGGAGATCTTTATTTTTAAAAAGAGTAAATGCAAGCCCCTCCTGCCCACCATTAAAAAAAAAAATTGATTAGGGATGCAGACCCTTCCTAGACCAAGTCACTTCCCTGGGAGCGGGATTTCCAGAGGATGGAAGAAGGTGGAGGCTCTCTTGGCGGTTCCTCGCAGTGCCTCCCAGAGCACATGGTTCCAGGCTCCACCTTATCCTCTCTGCGGTCTGCACTTAACAGGGAAGTTTGCAAAACACAGCTGTTCCGAGGAGCCAGAGAACCGCTGAAAACGAAGCCACACCGCGGAGAGAGGGGAGAAGGGAGCACGGGACGAGGGTGGGAAAAATGCACACGCTCGCTGCCCCCTTCCCCAAAGCAAACAAAAAGTCCAGGGGTCTCCCCTGCCCTGGCTACGATAAAAAGCAGGACGAGGCTGCTGCAAAGTAGCTTAGACGATCCCCGCTCCCTAAACCTAGAGTTGACAACCTCGTCCTTGCAGGGAAGTCTCCCTCTTAAGAAGCGGGAAACAGGCTACCTCTCTCCTCCCTTCTCCTCCTACCCGCTTCTCCTCCAGTAAAGACACACCCCACCCGCTCACGGAAAAGGGGAGAGTGAGTGCCAATTTGGACCGCGTTCACATGCGATAACTGCATTTTCCCTTCTCTGGTACACTAGATTTAAATGGTTAAAACACACACACACACACATTTATAATGAACTCTTGACCTCTTGTTTCTTCTGGGGCGGGGGCAAGGGAGAAGAGAAAGGAGTAATAGCGCGGGACTGAGACTTAATTCCAGCAGGCTAAGTGCACAACCCTTTAAAATGATTCCTTCTGCACAACTGATGCAGATTTTTCATCTTGCTCAAAGATCACAGTGCAAACCAGCTACGGTTTTTCAACTTTGCACGCTCAGGAAGCAAGCAAGACAGTTGCACGGTTATAAATCTCCCTTCCAAAACCCCTAGCCAGCAGCCCCCTCAGCTCGCCGCCTTGTTCTGCAGGGATTTGGAGCGTTCGATAACTCCCGTGGGGATTTCCGCGAGTCGTTCAGCAAAGATTTCACCACCCCCACTTCCCCACGGGGAGTTTAAAGAGAACACACGCTCAGGGACAGAGACCTTTAAATGCCGCTCGCTAGGGAAACGCAAACAGCAAGAAAAAACTTGGGACTCACCGGCCAGGCGAAACTGAAAGGGAGAACAATCCGGTATCTTTCGCTATTCCGATTCGATTTCAAATTAAAAGTATTCCCTCCGATGACAGGAGTAGATCCCGATCCGAAGCTGCAAGGCCCCCCCGCAGTGACCCGGAACTGATACTCCTTCAGGCAAACTTTAAAGTAAGTAGCACACTCGTCTCTGGTGCATTTTCTATCCTCTGGATTTCGGGAGCCATGGCAGCAATTCCCATTCTGCAATTCCCCATTCAGGTTTTGCATAGATAAGATCTCCAATTCGAACTGTCCGGATGCTGAGGACACCTGTTAAGTTCCCCCCCAGAGAAAGAGTTCCGAAAAAGTTATCTTGGGCTATTTTTTTTTTTTTGGGGGGGGGGGGGGGGGGGGGGGGAGAAGGAGATAGAAATCCCAACCCATTTACAAGACATGCAACTGTGAAATTCATAGTGACAACTGTGAAAATAAGTTTCCCACTTTTTTTTTAAGGATTAAGAAATTGAATATAAGAAAAACCTAACAACACACACACACACAACTAAGAAATGAAATTAAAGTGATTGTTTTCCCCAGCCTAGAGACGGGGGAAAAAAACTTAGAAGGGCAGGGATTTGTTAGCGCTAGACAAACGTCAAACCAAGAAGGCATTAAACAGAGCACAAGCTAAGAAACAAAATCTTGAGAAAGTGGGAGGGCAGAGCTGAGGTGCCGCCGGACCCGACTGAGTTAAAACCAAGTTAAGCCCCAGTTCACGGGAACCACGTCTGTAAAAGAAACCACCCAAAAGGGAGAATAGTTTAAATATCTAGGTATAGTTAGTATAGGTATATACATACATTAAAAAAAAAAAAAAACAAAATGTGTGTATATTCCTGAAAGAAGAGAAGCGAAAACGAAGAGGCACAGGCAGCAATCAAAGAAGTCCAAGGTGCAAACAGTTTTATTACCCACTCTTGAGAAAGTGACTAACGGGTGGGGGTGGAGGGAAGGGAAAAACCAAGGAAGAGAAGAACGCCGGTTCACCAAGGAAAAAGAAGGCCACCACACACACATATATACATACAAAGTCCTAACATTCTAGCGTAGGACAGCGGGAGTGCAACGTACCTTTACTCGCAAACATAGCAGAGCGATGATCAGACTTAAAGAGTACTCAGTCCGGACGGGTGCCCGTGGTAAAAGCATCGCCTTTTCCTGTAACCTCTGCTGCCGGTCGCGGAGACACTGAACGCTGCTGCTGGGGCCGCCGCGTCCCGGCTAATATACTCCACCGATTGGAGCATGCACGGCTGGAAAACAACACCACTTTTCAAAAGCCTTTTCAATAGAGTCCCGGTCCTGAATGCAAAAGAGCCCAGCCTCCTTTTATTATTCTGATTTCTTCTTTTTTTTTTTCTTGCTCTCTCCCCCCCTCCTCCTCCTCCTCCTCTTCCTCCTCTCGGGCTGCTCTCTTTTATTATTATGATTACTCGCAGCCTTTTATTCCCTTTCAGATCAGCTGCAGGGAAAAGGGGGGAGGGAGGGAAAGAAGGGAAAAAAAAAAACACCGCTTCCTCACAGGTAACACAATAACACGCGCCCGCACCACGCTCGCCCTCCAGCCTGGCTCACACAGAGAAGAACCCTGAGAGCCCGTCTGGGAGACGGCTTCTAACTCTATCCGACCGCAGGAGGAAGGCGCATGCGCTACTTATTAATATTCATGAGGGGGCGGGTCCCTCTTGAGACATCCCGAGCACGCCCACTCCCCCTCCTCCTTTTCTCCCAGACTGCGAAGGAAGGAGGGGCTGCAGCCGCCCCAGAAGCCTTAGTGAGGGCAAGAGGGGAGGGAAAGAGCCTAGAGAGGTGCGAGTGGGTCGAGACACACCTAAACGGGGCGAGAATAAGCAAACTGGAGAGGCTTGGTGGAAAAGATGGGGAGGGGTTACTGCTGAAATTGGAGTGGGGGGTAGGGAGAGAGTGGACTAATTAGGAATTGTGTAGATACGCGTATATGTGGATGCCTTCGCCTTCGTCCCTCCCCTTAGCCTTGGCAAACGTTTCTCTTAGTATCCGCGTGGTGGAGGAGGCGTGACATGTGATCCCACGCGTGGGCTTGAGCTTGGAACGCGTTTATAGGGTCGGGTAAAGTGAGCCTAGGTGGGGGAGGGGGGCACGTGGCGCCTCAGGTGTGTAAAGCAGGAGAAGAAGAAGGGAGGAGACAGATGCGTGTGCGTCTGGAGCCCCGGTGCTGGCAGGGCTTGCATTTCGGTTTTTCCCCCGTGGTGACGCCGGGCTGGTGGAAAGAGCCCTATCGGGCCGAGCTTCACACGGCCGGGGCTGGAAAGCTTCCTCCTTTTCTCCCCCTCCCTCCCCCTACATGCGTCAATTGCGGCTTCTCTCCGAGAAGAGGAGGAGGAGGGACCTCCAATTAGCCCCGCGCTAATCTCGGAGCGAGCCGCGGAGCCTGAGCGTGCAACGGCGCGGGCTTCCCGCGATCCGCAGAGAGGCTGGGGCGGCCGGCCGAGGCCACCTGAGCAGCCCCCTTTGCCTGGAATTTTGAAAAAACGTTACCCGAGTGTCTGCGATTTTAAGTCCTGATCCTACTGTCGGTCTCTCCTCCTCCGCCCCGTCTTCCCCAGCAATGGGATCAGAGTTTGCAAAGCCTCTCCGCTAGCTCCCTCCCTCCCAAACAGTCCAGCTGAAGCGCAAGGGGGTGTGGCGGGGAGGTGGAGACCAAAGCAAAGGAGACCCAGTGCCTCCCCTCCCCCTCCCCTCTGCTGCGGTCGTGGGGGCGACCAGAGAAGGGCGAGTGGGTTAGACTATTCTTAGACGTCGCTTCCTGGGCTTTCCCTTCCAGATCTTCCCGTCCCGGAGAGAGGCTCCGCTGCCCAGGAAGGCGGGCAGCTTTGTTTCAGCAATGTGGGTATTGCACCTGTAGGCGGCCTCCAAACTATTCAGGAGGTGGCAGAGATCCTACAGATGGCAAGTTACTAGAAGCGCTAAAGGGAAGGGTCTGATCCACCCACTCAGAACTAGCGGTCGCGCTGGCCACTAGGGGTTTGCTGTGATGCATGGTTGAATGGAAGGGTCTTTATTTTTTACTTATTTCTCCACAATATGGTCAATAATAGCAATTCTAAGCCTCATCCAGCATCTAAGGAAAGGTTGTGTGACTGGTTTTCATTTCTCTTCGAAATAAGGAGACAGGTCTGAAAGGGGATAATCTTTTCCTTCCCCAGGAGTTCAGAGGGTTTTTATAAAATTGTTTTTATTTTTATTTTTATTTTTGAGGAGCTCCGCTGGCAGGAGCAAGTCATGGCTCATTTCCTACAAAGGAAAGAAGTTTAGGGTTTGGACCATTTTGGAGGGGAGGAGGATGTTCAAAAGTGACATCCTAAGACCTAATTCTGCTTTGCCTTCTCAGTGTAGCTTCAATGCTGCCGAATTGGGTATATGACACCTTTGGTGAGACGAGGAAATAACCTCCAACCCCTAGACATGTAAAAGTGAAAGTTTGTTGTATGACAGTGAGGTCAATGCAGTTAAATTTTATGTAAAGCTTAAAACAAATCAGGTCCATATCTCATCACACTAGCTAGCTACCTGTAGACCATCTCCTTCCATGATCCCAGGAGTTTAAGACAGGTTAAGAATTCAAGCAACTTGTTGCTTAATAACTTGAGGTCCAGCAATAAGAAAGCCACAATGAGAATAATTAATAACTAGCATTTCTTGGCACTTTTGAAGTGCTTTACACTTTATCCTAAAGTATATTCATTCTCTCCCATCCCCCCCTTCCCCTCCAATACACACACTTCTATCCTATTATTTTGGGTACTGGAAAGAAAATTAAACCTTAACTTTAGAGAGGACAACTAAATATAGATGAATTTGAAATCAATTAATAGTACTTCTAATTGGCATTTGAGAGTTATGTTAAGAAATTTCAACAGTTCCCCTGGGAGAGGGAGAGGACTTTCAGCCTCCCACTTCCAGACCTGAGTAACTGCCCCTTTTTTCCCCAGACTGTTTCCAAACAGGTTAGCATTTGAGAGTTAAGTATTTCTTAGCCATGATAACCAATTCTCAATGTTTCTTAGAACCAAGGAATGGCTACCATGAGCAGTTTAGAAGCTACTTTTATCCTCTATTGCAATGTACCCATTTGTATTCCATAATCTTATTTACAGTTTTCTTGCTAATATTCCCATAAATATAAACCATGCTCCCCATGCCTTCCTGCAACCTTCCAATGTTGGGAGTAAATACTCTGGGGATTTTTCATTCATGCCTTTGGATATAATAGATACTTCCACTTCCCCCACTGTGTGTGTGTGTGTGTGTGTGTGTGTGTGTTTGCCACCTTTGGAAAAAGAGCAAGACTTTTTTTTTTCCATCATGACTGAGTTTCAGCTAGGGTTAAAGTGATCTCTTTGTGTCGATATTAAGACACATGTTCAATTGAGATTCCACACACAGCCCAGATTCAAATTTCATGCCCTCTAGCATGTCAGAATGCCCTGCCTGGGCCTGTCACCTTACACACCTCAGGGTGGTACCCACAGAGTTGGCCTTTCAGCTGAATACCCTAGGGAACATCTCACTGGCTCAAAGAGAGTTGCCCATGCATGGCTGGCAGGGGCTCCCTCTGGCAAATTTTGCTACAAGCCCAAACTGGTTTCTAGTCATTGAGTTTAGTTCTTCTGACCAGTACTATGACAGAACATTGACTTCTGGAAGGGTTGAAACTACCTAACAGAAGCAAACCAAGTTGGGTGCTAGGGTGTCAAAGGTAAAACTCAAAATCCTTAAGAGGTCCTCAGATTTCCAGATGATAAGGTGTCCCTCCCAGGCAGTGCTCCCAGAACCCAAGAAGGAAAGGGATCCCTGGAATGTATAGAAAGGGCAGTCACAGTGGTGGGTTGGAGAAAATTTTGCTTTCTGTCCCACCCTCCCCTTAACTGAAATTTAAACTGGTACTCCCAGAGAAGCCATTCATTTTTTTTGTTGTTTGTTTGTTTTTGTTTGTTGTTTTTACCGTAACAGGTCATGAAGGGAAAAATATTTACAGTTGCTCAAAATCTTCATCCCTTCCCTCCTATCTTGAACAGTGAGGTAAGTTCTGTTTCTCCAGAGTTAAAGAATGGGGAGCCACTGTCTTGTAAGAACTTACTCCTTAGAGGTGCTTTTTGGTTTTCTATTCCTCTGTCCTGAGAGTACTATGGGGGGGGGGGTTGGAGTAAGGTCTATCGCAGGGGTGGGAAACCTACGGCCTCAAGGTCCTTCTAGGTCCTTGGGTTCAACCTTTTGACCAAGTCCTAGTTTTACAGAACAAATCCTTTTATTAAGGAGATTTGTTCTCTGAAGTTTGGATTCAGTCAAAGGGCAGCACTTGAAGACCTAGAGGGCCATGTGTGGCCTTGAGGTTGCAGGTTCCCCACCCTGGTCTATCTATTCTATCACTCATTGCCCCTAGGTCAGGTTAAGACCTTTTGTGTGTTCTGTACCCGTTATTGGTCTGGTGAAGCCTATGGACTCCCTTCTCAAAATAAAGTTTTTAAATGCACAAAATACAAATGATCACAAAAGAAATCAATTATATTGAAACAAAGTTGTACTTATATATGTGTATATATATGTGCACACATAGACATATATATATACACATTCAAGTTCACATACCTCAGAAACCTCTTCATATCTAGTTCCTTTATTTTGATAATAATAGTTCATATTTTTTTAAGATCTACAAAGAATTTTCCTGACCACCACCTTGAAGTTGAGAGGCAATATACAGATGAGGAAACAGGCAAAGGTTAAGCGATTTTTTTCCCCCAGGGTCACATGGATAGTAATTGATTAAGGAAGATAGGGTCAGAATAACAGAGGAAACATCCTCATTTTGTTTTAGATATCATCGAAGCTTGAGGAAAATGCAGATCATGGATCAGCTATGTCTTTGCAGAACAATCAAACGGTAGCAGTGATGGAAATAGAAGTGGTGGAACCAGAGAAGAAAGGCCTGGCATCTGTCAGCTCTTCAGTCCTTCCATGTTTGCCCAAGGAGACATCTTTGGGCAGGCAGTTCCAGGTGCTATAACAGGGCAAAGCTCATCATGGGAAAAGTAGGATTTGAGTGTGCAGCTCAACCAACCCCTTGTTTCCTTTTCTTCTTTTCTCATCTCAAGAAATTCAGCAGGAAAATCTATGGCCAAGAAGTTAAACATAAAAAATCAAGACCTTCAAAGTAATAGCTCCCACAGCAACCATAAGTAGGCCACAAATTTATACATTTATACATTAAAGCACAAGTTTAGTAGATTCAGTACTAAAAAAAAAATCTTTCATGCACACAAGAGGACTGAATTAATTTTCCTTGGAAACCAGAACTCTGAATTTCCTGAATTTTCGATGATAATTTTACATTAACCTATTTAAAACAAATTATTTTAGTTTTGTATTGAGTTCAGTTATTTATGATTGGAGTCTCTCTCCATTTCAGTTTAGTTATGTGTAGCTTAGGGCAGCTTCACGTTTTGGGGGGAGTAATAGATTCGTATTTTTTTTAATCCTGTCAGGCAAAACTTTCACAGAAAATGTCTCAAAAAACTAGGCTCCAGTGAGTCAGATTAAGAGCCTCTGGAATAAAATGATCATTCTATTTTGGATATCCCTTGGTCCTTGATTAAAACCAAAAAATAGTATCAATTTCTCAACAGTTCATCAGACTAAAATGAAATCTGTTTGTCTTATCAAAAAATAGTCTTGGTGGGAAAAAAAAAGCCTATCTTTTAACCTTGGGCTTACAATGATAATTCTTGCTTACATGGTAGTTTAAGGCTTACGGTGTCCTTTCCTTATAACAACCCTGTCAATTTTGTCATGGAGTCATTAATTGAGAGCTGTAAAGAACCTCAGAAATCAGCTAGTTCCCTTATTTTACGGATGAAGAAACTGAGGCTGAGAATCTCAATGACTAGCTGAAGGTCACTTAAGTAGTAAGTGTTTAGTCCTTTAACTCCAGTCCTAGCATTCTTTCCACTGCACAATGATTATGCATTATTATTATCCCTATTTATAAGATAAGGTAACTGAGACTTAGGGTAAATTACTTTCTCAGAGTCACATAGCTAGTGTCAGAGCATGGAACCCAAGTCTCCAGAAGCCCATTGATCTCTCTATCATCACACCCTTTCTCGACATTGCTTTATACTCCTCCCCAAATCCCTTCCAAATTTGTTTTGCTTCAGTTCTATGCTGCTGACTGACCCTCATCCCCTCATCTTCGGTTGGACAAGTCACAGGGAGTCCAATGACAATTTGGAGATGTTAAAAGTACCTGTGTGATTCAGGGACTGGTTGATGGTTATACTTGAGCTACATGCATCTTCTACCAAATGAGTCCTTTGACACAGCCGACTGATCTAAACATAGCCAGTGATTTTCTATAATTACTAAGTGTGACTGAATTCTTGCAAGACTTTTCATCGCCTAAAAGACTTTGGAAATTACACTTCCAGAGCTCGTTAGAATTTAGAAACCAATACACAATTACTGTGTCATGATATCTCTTCATCTTCTTTGCACTGAGCCTAATAAAAGTAAAAGATTCATTTTGGATAGTAAATTGGCACTTTAGGAAAGAAGCCGATAAGTCAAACTTGAGGAGTGGGGAGTGGGAAACATCACAATGCACACAAAAGCAACACCAGAGAAACAAAACTGAAGGTGACAGTATTTGTGTTTTGGAGTTAAGAGTCAACAATAATCAGCCAATTATCAGATTGTGCCTCTGTTGACATATCTGTTCTCAATCCAATGATTTATTTATTTAACTGACAGTTTCCATTCTTCATTAAGGGCTGTTAGCACATCAAAGTAGGTTAAACCTGGTAATGTGATAACTTGTGCTAATGTTTACTTTTTTAGTTAGAAAGTTAATTATTAGGGATTTGCATTTTTGTTGTTTTAATTCACTCTGAACAAATAGGGGGATGGGATTTCTAATTGGGAAGGACCTTAGAGTGCATCTAGCCTAACCCCACTCATTTTACAGATAAGGAAACACCACCAGCCAGGTTTAGGGGACTTGCATGAGGCCAAATGGGTTTCTAACCCAACTTGTGTAAAGTACTTTGCAAACTTTAAAGCCACTACTGCTAGCAGCAGTAGTAATATCAGTAGTAAGAAAAGGGTCAGGATTCTCATCTGGGGAAATCTTGATTTCCAAATCTAGTGTTTTTCTCCCACTTTAAAATAGTGAAATGCAACAAATCTTTTGTTACTACAGGTACAATTTATTCTTTTTTTTTTTAATCATTAGTCACATTAATCATTAGTCACAATCATGGGCTTTTTATAAGCATCGATGTTTCAGGCAACTTGACTTTCATGAAGTTGAGGCAATGTTAAGAATTCTCAAGCATGATTTCAGATGAGATTTATTGTCTGGTGGAAAATCTAGGAAGCATAGAGATACCAAAACAAATCCCTCAAAACATAGACTTGATTGCAGAGAACCCTTTCCCTAACTGGATTATATGAGGAAGGAAAACTGATCTCATACAGGATGAGAAAGACTTGGCTTGGCAACAAGTGGTTCTTGTGAAACAGTGAAAACCTAGGCTACATTCCTAGAAGCAAGTCTTACTATAACAAGTTACTATAACCTTTCTTAAAATATGGTATCAAAAGTAACGAGTATCCTCTAAAGGTGGTCAGAGCATTGCCTGACTCATTAGAGCATGAGCTTCCTATGGGCAAGGTGCTTGTTGCATTTTTTTAAAATACAATACACAGTGCAGATACATTTATGTGCACATTAAGCCTGTAGTAGGGGCTTCATGAATGCTTTTTAATGGATTGATACTCTCCCAGTGCTTACATGTCTTCACATATCCCGTCTGTTTTTAAGTTTCGATTAATTTCTAAGAACACCCAAATGAGTTAAGAGAAAGCTTGTCATATACAGGTGAAAATCTGAGCCTTGTTAATATCATAGGAAGGGCTTGGATGGAACCTAAAGTTCTTATATGACTTATATTTATAATTATCCACTGAAGTCCTACTCAAGCATCTTATCACAATATTTAAGTGACTGCATTCTGGAGGCTATTCCAACCGAAAGTGAGTCAGGTAGTGGCAGTTCCTACCAATTTGGAAAGGGTTGTTACCTGAGGATCACCTGCCTAGTTAAGTTTAATGAGGTTCATCATCCAAAGACTGCCCACCAGGTGATGGAAATGTTGGCCACAGCAAGTCAACTATGTTGCCAGCTACTAAGGTGCTGAGGGTTTCTGTGCTAGTGGGAGTGCTCTTACTATAGACTTGTGGATCTTTTGAAGTAGTAACGATAATAATTAACTGACAGTACTAGTGTTCCAGGGTGACAAAGTCCTTTACATACATTATCTAATTAATCATATAATACACAATATAATAGACTTTTCATCTTATCAGGAAAAAAGAGAGGGAGTATCAGGGGGTACAGGTGGAATTTGTTTTGAAGGAATAAATCATTGAGGATGAGAAAATGCTATTTGAGAGTCAGGAATGAACTAAGGTGAAGGAGTATAATACTCTTTCCCTTCTCAAACTATGATGCACTTCAATCAATCAACAAGCAATTTTTAAGCCCCTACTGTGTGACAGTCTTTGTGAACATTATCTGTTTACATATGTCCCCTGTTGAATGTATGATCCTTGGAAAAAAGGGGGTGCGCAGATCCTTACTTAGGGTAGTCTTGCTGAAGAGAGTAGAATTGAATATTAGAAACTGTAACTTTCACAGTAAGAGAATCCGTTGTCTTTTCTCTACAACAATTTCCTCAGTTTACATGGAAGAAGTTTAGGAATGGGGCAGACTCACCTAAGTACAAATTGCAAGGAGAGATGATGAGGCTCTCAGGTCACCTGATCTAGATTCCTTTCTTCTATGGAAGGAGAACGGGAAAATAAAATTACAGTGGTAAACAATTAGAAGAATGAGATCTACTTAAAATCCCTTCTTCACAGCTCTCTACAGTTGAAAGCCTGCCTGTCATCATAGTCAGGGATCTTCACTACCCTTTCTCCTTGCCTGACGTATGGAAGCCACACATTGCACGTGCCCCGAACCATACAGCATACTGGTCCTTCTCTGAAGGGGATCTGAATGATGCTGACATGCTAATGAGCACAAACCACCTGGGAGAAGATTTGGGGCTGAAGGGGTGGGAGAAGCCTGGGAGGCCGGAGTTCACCCACCCACAACCCCTCCTGGGCTCTAGACCCATCTGTTGAGTCCTGCCTGCCTACTCCTTGCAACAGGCTGCAGCCCACCTCTCCCAGCAAGTGCACAGTTCCCAAGATACCACTCGTCCTGGGTCAGCCTTTGTTGAAAGATAATGTGACTCTGAAAAGAAAGCCTTCCCCCCCCCAAAAAAGGAGGATAAAAAAAGGCTCTCAGATCAATCCACAGCAGACACACAGAGTTACAAAGCTCTAGCAAATCCTTTATTCTTTCCTCTGAGCAGCTGCTGCAGCCACCCCAACTCAGCCCCCACTGGAAACCTGTAAGCTATTCAGATCATTTAATCCAGTTGAAAATCCTCTCTCTCTCTCTCTCTCTCCCTCTCTCACTGAGGCACACACTCCCTCTCACCCCCCCCCCAACTTTGCACTAGAGGTGAGATCGGGTTGAGGTGAGCTTGAGCTTAATTTATACTTTGAAAACTCGATTCAAACTGTTCACATGGCTTAATGCCTACTGAAATTACAGGGCTGCTCTGGAGGGAAGGTCCAGAAACTCAGGGAATCTTCTCTTCATCAATCTATAAGCTTATACTTGCAACCTTTAAATACAAGTCTGTGAACTCATAAGATGTTTAAAACAAAAAACAAAAACAAAAACCACACATTGGAAAGTGACATTTTCTCCTTGATTTTTCAGAAATGTGACAAGGACATGAGTCTCATAGGATAATGGGGGTGGGGGGAGTTGGAGGGAAGTTTGACACGTAGGGATAAGAGACAAGAATTCTTGAACCTCTAGCTCAGCCTTAAGGCCACAGGTGGCCTTCTAGGTCCTTAAGTGTGGCCTTTTGACTGGATCCAAATTTTATGGAACAAATAGGCCCTTAAGTGTGGTCTTAGGGCTACAGATTCCCACCACTGCTCTAGCTCCTTGAACTTCGAATAATGACCAATTCCTAGTGCTTTACTCACACCTTTAATGGTGCGACAAATGAAGATTCAAAATTCACCATTTTATCAATCATGCTGCCAATAAGCATTTATTAAGCATGTATTATGCTTTAGGTAATGTGCTAAACACAAGAGATACAAAGAAAGGCAAAAACATAGTCCCTGCCCCCAAGGAGCTCACATTCTAATGGGAGAGATAGCATGCAAACAACTATACACCTGCAAGAAATAGAAGGGTAAATGGAAAATAATCTGGAGGGGCAGGGGTGGAGAGACCTGAAAAGGCTTCTTTCAGGAAGCCAGTCATGCCAACCCAGATTATGATTCTTCCTGATCTTTCTTCTACTACCTGAACTGTGAAGTAATAAATATAAATGAAAATACTGGATCTAAAATTCTGTGAAGATCCATCCTGTGTAAGCATAGACCTAA